GGCAATGCTTGGGAGGCCATTCGGGAGCTGTGCGGTCTCCCCACAGGTAAGCTATTTCGTTGCTCTGCACATCGCGTCTCTGCTTATTGCCGTGCTGTGTTCCGCTGCTGCAGCAGACGCGATCATGTTTTGTAGTCTACTTGAAAGGTGAAGCTTTATATAAAAACATCTTTCACTGACCTTTCGTGGTTAACGTAGCGGTCGTGGCCGGATAAAAAGAGAGCGTATACGCAACGGAGGTTCTTGGCTAGGGATAATCCGTCGTGGTAGTTGAGGGCTGGGTGAGCGCGGGCAGCGGCTTTGCGCGATCGACTTGTAATTATATAGATTGTTGTAGAGGACCGCGTTCACGCTTGCGTGGGTGCGCGACGCGAATAGTATAGACAAAGAGACGACATCTTTGGGCCAGTACAAAAATATATTAAAGCGTTAAACACTAGAGAATGAGAAAATTCAAAAAAATTAATTATCGGAAAATCTAACACTTAAAGGGTAATTAAAGAGGAGTACTTCACATAGTCCGTGAAGTAGGTCTGAGTTCTGATCATGGTTGACACGCCGAAGTCTTGATGCCAGGTAGATTGGCGCGTTGGGGCTGGGTAGTGGACGACGGGTTGGCTTGAAGAGTGTGGCCTGAAGTAGCGGCAGGGCAGCCTCGGAGGCCCGCTGACCAGGCCTGTGTTTGTGGACGACGAACTGAAGCAGTGCCGACCACGCCTATCGTTGCGGGTCGGTTTTGTCGTCCACCAGATCCTGCTCGCTTGTTCTGTTCGGTCACCTCCAGGCTTCCTTCTACCACTTCTTTTTCCACCACCTGCCACTCGTGCCAAATTTTCTCCGTGCACACAAACACACAGTCAACCAGCCACATCAGCATTCCTTTTCGTCGTCGTCCTTTTTTTTTCTTCTACATTGAAGTCCGAAATTACCACAATTGTAAAAAAAGTGCAATGTGCCCCAAAGAAAAGGTGTAGAGATGAAGAAAAGCGTGTGCATACGCGGCGGCTGGTGAACGGCGAGCGGGCCATGCTTGGACGTGCACCAACCGTGCTTTCGCACTTTAGTGGAGCTTTTGACAGATTGCCCGAAACCAGACTATTTGTTTTTATTTTCAGTCGGAGACTGCCAAAAACTGTGGAAGAGGCTGCGTGACCGCTTCACGCAAAAAACCAGAGCCCTGGAACTCACGAAGCGAAGCGACAGCGGGTTCGTCGCCAGGCACACGTGGGAATTCATGCAGGCCTGGGAATTTTATTGTGGTATAAGAAATTTAAGCGTTGAAACAGACGCGTGTCGTAGATTGAGTTACACATTTTGGTCACAATGCTGTTCTCGGGAATTATAGATACAGGCCTGATGAGAGTTGCGGAACCGTCGGTGAAATCGCAAAAACGTACTAGAATGCCGCTTTATTTATTTCGATCGAACACAGGGGGCATAGTAGCAGTAGCAAACGCCCGACACAAATGACCTCTTGGATGGAATAGTGGATGGAATTCTTTAATCACGTTGGACGCAGCGCGTCTGTGTGCAACGTGGCTGAGACAGGCAGGCTTTGCATTGAGCGAGCCCCCCGCACTACTGAGAGTTTTGTTTGAGTGTGTAAAGAAGATAAATAAATTGCCTTCTTCATATGTTCACCGGTATCGCCACACATAACCAAAATAGCGAACAAAACAAGGGTGAAAATACTTCCCATGGCTTCAAGCAAGCTTGGCACGCTGTGCAGAATAATGCATAGCATTGTGCGTTAATTGATGAACACGTTTAATGCTGGTTAGTGTTTATCCCCGATGAATTGGTCAGAAGTCAACCTTTCTGGTAATTTACACATGTGAAACCACGTATCTCCCAATTGAGGGATATGGACGGATGTACTGCAGAAATACTTCAGTTGTAGTTTAAAAAGCGGACAAACCACCGTCATGAAAATGTTTATATACGTTCGTTCCTTCCCTCACACACACACAAAAAATAAAAAATTAATAAAATGGCGTCGATAGGCGCAATATTTTTCTTTATTATGGTGTATACTCTGCTTTACTTAGGGTAGCTCTAATTTCGCAGTGATTCAGAAATAAAACTTATACCAGTGTCAGACGGCGTTCTAAAGGTTCTTTTCACTAAGCTTCTGTATAAAATCGGCGAACCAGCGCACGCCGTAGGGCACGTGCGCACTCAACATCGCGAGCAGATTGGCCGATTTTATAAAGGAGCTTAGCGAACAGGATCTTTAGAACGCTGTCTGACACGCGGATTACTAACTTGATAAAATTATTAACACATTTTATATTCATTTCGCAATATCAAATATATTTGAAGCATTTTGTTGATGTGATAATGGTTCTGCTTGCTAAGTGGATTATGTTTCTGTTCGTGTAGAACGGCAAGCAACCTGGACACGAGACCACTAGCAATGGACGCCGACGGGGATGTCGCGGTAGAGGACTTCTTTCATTTGATCCAGAGTGGCGCACCATCGCCTTCTGAGGTCAACTGCATTGATTTAGAGCAGGTGGAAGGGGGCCAATTACAGCTAAATAATGATGGTGATCAGCCCGATCTGCGTGCAACGACGGGGGTGTCGTCAGGCGCACCGAAAAAGCGTATAAAAAGTGACGAATTTGAGCAGCAGCCGCTCTGTCAGCTGGAAAAGAAAATGACGAAAAATGAGGCTTTTGGTATGTCCATTAATATGAGCCTGGAAAGCTTGTTTAGGCCTGAAGCAGCAAAGTGCAAGGCACGAATAATGGAGGTCATTGCAGAATATGACAACTAATTAGTTGAGAAATGCTGCAATTACTTCCTTCTGTGTGTTTTTATAACAAAGCAAGAGGCTGCTGCTGTGTCTTTTTTTTATTATTTATGCTTTTACTTGCAGTGACATGGGACTCAAGCTGTACTAAAATAATTTTATGAACAAAGTATTAAAAAAAAAAAAGATCCGTGCGTAATACTTTTAGCGCTCCAGCACCTTGTGCCACACAAGTGGAAACACTACTATAAAAACACGAGTCATTGACTTTTAATCCTACTAGACTCAAGAAAATGTCTGCCTAAGCACAAAAACGTAAGTGGGAGGGCAACTTTTAGTCATAAATGCCTCAGAACAGTGAATAAAACAACACAATCCGATGCGAAATAATTCTTTAAAAAAAACATCACAGATACCACAGAGTGAATGGCAAGGTAATTTTTTTTATATATAATAAGCTTTCAGAAACTCGTGAAGTCTATCAAAGGTAAAACAAATAATCAATTGTTGCTGCAGACTGACCCACGGACAGCACCAAAAGTTGTCAAGATCTCAGAGACTTCTCCTTCAAATGGCTGGCATCGAAGCAATGACTAGCTCAAACAATTGATTTTGGGTTACTGAACTTACAAGAAAACATTTTTAGTGCCCGGATAGGACCGGCATGTCTTACAATAAATTCCGTAAAAAAAAAAATATATATATATTCGCGCCCACGATTTACGTTGCGATGGTTAATTCTTGTTTTGAGGGCGATGGTAAAACTATACCGTATTACAATGATGATGATTAAGATGGTGCTCTATTTCCGACTCTGCTCCTTCGTCTCACGTCTTCTGGGAGCGCGGGGAAAAAAGAAACTCTTCGGAGTAATGGCGTATATAGAGTACACTCCTAATTATCATTGTAAGGGAATAGTTTCTGTAGAGATACAGATAAAAATGCCTCTTGCGGCATAAATATGTGGAAAAGAACATTTTTTCAACGACTATTTATTTTGAGACATGCCTGTAGTATCCTGGCAGTAAGAATTGTGTTTTTATAAATGTATTTTTTTTAAGGACACGAAGAACGTTACATAGAAGTCATGCAGCGCCTTCATTTTAAAGCTAGAAGAGAAATGGCTGACACAGAATGTCTTTTATCATTTAACCACTGCAGCAGGAAATACACATGCGAAAACAATAAACAAATCAGGTACAAGAATGAACACTTTGAGTACACAAAATAAGGCTGAAAAAAGTAGCCAAGCAAAAAGATTTGGAAGCGCACAAGTGGCTCTCAAATAGTTAACAAGACTGGCAGATGCAGGATATAACACAATTTTCCACTTGCCTGCTCTAGACTGCTCTATCTGATGCCCAGATAGAGCAGTCTAGAGCAGGCAAGTGGAAAATTGTGTTATATTCTGTTTGCGAAGAAAAGTGGTAACACAGGTTCGCGTATTAGCTACGCCTAACAACTTCCAGCTGCCATGGCAAAGAGCCTTCTGCAGACATGAAATAATCTGAGATCTCATCTCTCATGTCTACGGCTGCTTGAGCAGGGCGCTTGCCGGCCGCTGCATTGCAAGTGCCAATTTGCGATACTGTCTGCCTCCACTGCCCTTCCTGCACCGCCCGCCCCTGTGGCCTGTCACCATAATCATTGGGGCAGTATGCGTTGTCAGCCATGAGAAAGTTATGCAAACAGACTGCTGCCTTTATCATGTCAGTGACAAGCTCGACGTCACCTTCGACAGTTCCAAGAAACGAACGCCACCTCGAGACTAAAATACCAAAAGCGTTCTCAACACATCGGCGCGCACTGGAAAGACGGTAATTGAAAACTTTTTTGTTGTCATCCAGACTCCTTCCAGGGTACGGACGCATTAAGTACGTGCTCAATAGAAAAGCAGCCTCACCGAGTAAACAGACGGGCCACCTAGACATACCCGAGGGCAGCCCGAGCGTGTTGGCTTCAAAGTGACGTCTGATGGCACTTTCCCTGAAGAAAGAGCCATCTCACATGCGACCCTGTGCCCCTACATCGACTATAGAGTAAACCTGTAGTTGGCGTCTGCGACAGCGAGCACGAGCAAGGAACAAAACCCTTTATACTTATAACACTCTGACCCACTGTTGTCTGGGCACTTAATAGAAAAGTGCTTCCCGTCAATGCTCCCGATGGCATTCGGGAAATTCCACTTCGCACAAAACTCCTGCCGTATTTTTTCACACTTCGACGTGGTAGGCTTTTTCAGTACCACAGGAGACAGACAGTCAGTCCCAGATGGCCGGCAAGGTTTCTCTCAGAATCCCTGAGACTGTCAAGGCGTGCATTCTGTAGCTCATGGCCAAATCCTGCATTGATCCTCCGGCAGCCAGGAATCTAGAAAAAATTATATTCACATATTAACCACAATCCGACGTGCTATTCCGATGCAGGATTTTGTGATAGAAGTGGGGCATGTTCTATAAAAGAAGAAGAAGAAGAAGAAACTTAGGTTTTATATGGCACAGCGGCAACTAAGGCCATTGTGCCAAACACAAGGTAAGTTAAAGGCAATACTGAAAAGACCTATAGTAGGTAGTTCCATCTTAAAACTATGGAAGATGAATGATTAAAACCTTACAAGATACAGGCCTATTAAGGCCTCCAGAAATTTTAACCAATGCTCCACTAACCAGAGGCACTCTAAAGGAATTTCTTTCACGCAAGGAAGTATAGAAAATGTGCTGACGATACAAGATCGCCGGCTCTCTGTCACCACTAATCTTCAGGCAAACGTAATGGAAAAGAAAACAAACTAAAATTCATAGCCGATGTAGGATGCCAATGCTATCTAAAAACTTAAAATCTTGACGGTGTGGCACAAAAGGTTCGTCACCCAATAATAATGCCGGGTGGAACGGGACGCGATTCCGGAAAAAGGTAGAGAAAAAAAAATGAAAGCCATTTACAAATCCCTGTAACGCCGAATTGGAGCGCAGCTCTTGAGGAGCAGTAGGGAAGGGTACTGAGGGGGGTCACGTCACCTGCGGGTAGTCACGTGACCCCGGGGGGGTCACGTGATCTCGGGGGAGGGGGGGTCACGTGACCTCGGGGGGGGGGGGGCACGTGATCTCGGGGGGGGGGGGGGGGGTCACGTGACCTCGGGGGTCACGTGACCCCCCCCCCCCCGGTTACGCCGACGCCGACGCCGCTCAGGCTGGAAACGGGCCCCTAAGAGCTGCGCTCTAAAAAGTGGTGCGTTCGTGATGGTACTTAGGACATACGATAAGAATATGCAACACATTCAAAGACTCGTTACAGTGTTCACATTTCGGAGCTGCCTCTCCCCGTAGGAGGTACCCATGCGTGAGATGGGTGTGTCCCAGTCTCAGACGACAGAGCACAACCTCAAAGTAGCGCTCCCTGTGTCGGCAACTTGCCCATTCCCGCAGGGTAGGTTTCACACAATGAAGCTTGTTGTGTATTTCCGTGTCCCATTCTAACTGCCACTTTTTCTGGATTGCTCTATTAAGACTGTGTTTGTAATCAGTGTACGGAATGTCCTTGATATCCACTTGCCTCTCAATGCACGTACTGGCAGCTCTATCAGCATCCTCATTTCCCCGAATACCGACGTGACTAGGCACCCAACAGAAATTGATGTGTAAATCTGATTTTGCTGCAGTGAGCACAATGTTCCGGAGCCTAGTAACGAAGGTATTTTTTGGTACTTCCAAAGAAGCAAGTCCCTTTAAAGCGCTGAGAGAGTCAGAGTAAATAACAGAATGCTGGATAGCGTTTTCTATAATGAATTCAACAGCTAAAATTAAAGCATATAATTCTGCAGTAAATATTGAGGCTCTGGCATCAAGACGCCTAACAACCTTCCATGTCTCGCTTATAACAGCACAACCAACAGCAGGGTCACTCTTAGTACCATCTGTGAAGAAACTCCGACAGTCACTGTACGTATAAGCAACCTGGGAAAACTCCTGCTGCAGGCTCTATAAAACTGTGTTGAAAACAGATTTGTAATTGTTATGAAGCCAGAGAAGTTGTAAAATATTTTTCTACCATGCTGTTGAATGTGAAGGTGATACATTAACAGACGGAGCACAGCTTGTGGGAGGACTTTTGGTATCCCCTCAGGTTTATTCGCAAGAGAATTAACAGTGATTAGTGTACAGTATATAAAGTATTGCGAACATGATAATTTTGTTAGAAAGACGAACATATCCCATTTACCTCAACGTAACTGCGAGCCTTTCTCCAGGAGAGATTGGCATCCTGTGCGTTGGTGCGTGGAGGATTCGGTGATACACAAGGCTAAACAGCCGATCAAATGAAGCTTTGGTCATCCTGCATGAACACAATGACACAGGTATTCCTCAACGCAGGTTTTCAAAATCTACACTTTGAAATAAAGCTCTAGGCAGCATACCAGCCTAAGCACGTCATATCGGAGTTTCTTCCTATTGTTATGTTTTATATGGAAGCGACGGGAAGTTTCCAGGATCGCTGTTTGATTGAGCGTGGCAGCTTACACTGCTACTATAAACAACCCTAATATCTTTTTACAAGAAACAAAGCTGCCCATTCTGCTAAATTTCAATGTAGCAAGCTCGTGACACCGTGAAAGCACTCTTGTAAGCCACTCCACTGAAAGTAAACGGTTCTCGACACTGTCCCTTGAACACAATTGTTGGCTGTTGCCATTTAAGGAAGAGCAACCGATATCTGCCCGGATTCGCCGACGAAACGTCTAGCTTATGAAGCTTGGCTTCATGAGCTATACGTTCCGTCTCAGCTTGCCTTCATGAGCTTTGAACGGAACGCCTAGCTTCATCAGCTAGAGCTAGACGTTCCGTTCCAGTTTGCCTTCATCAGCTTTATAGAAATAATACTGCAAACAACGCGCAGTATTATTTGCGCCGGGAAGCTCGCGCTCCCAAACAGTACGCCGCAAACTCGGTCATTTTTGAACGCTTTTATGACACCGAAATCGCCGTAAGTTCAATATTCCTTTAGAGCTTGCATTCAGTTACCTGAAATACTTGAAGTAGTATTCGGGGTCACTCTCTCGCAGCTCCTGGACGAGGCGGTGGTATTCCCCGTAGACCGTGCGCTTGTCAAAGATGTACCGTATGTACATTGACCGCCTACGCTTGCGGCGCAGGCGGTGCACCAATAGTGCAAGCGCGAGTTTTCGTCGTGCAGGGTACGTTCACGCCATCGCTCGAACTTGGCGCTCAAGAAGGCGAGAATTCTCGTCTGCTATTCGAAACGAAAAGGAACCGGAAATGGCGCACTCTCGCCGGAAACGCGCCCTCGTAGCCAGATTCTGCGCATGCGCCGCGCTGGCAGCCCACGGACGCGCGCCGCGGGAGTCGCCAGGGCCGCCGAATTTTTGACGCGTGCGGCGTGACTGACGTGACGTAGCCGACGTCGGCCAGCGTTCGCTTGCGCGCGCGTTACGTCGGAGTATAACAGAGCCTTTACACGTTCCGGCAAACCGCGAAAAATGAGATTGTTTCCGCGCATCTGCTCATTCATGTCATTTAAAGAGTTCCTTAACACAGAAAGTTCCTCAAGCGCACTGGAAGATTCCCCTTTCCACAATACCAAGCGTTTCGGTGACGTTAGCCAGGTTGTCCTTTATTTGACATATTTTAGCACATCTGTTTTCAAAGCTGGACACACGAGTGCCCAGGTCTGCAATAACTTTGTTAATTTAGTTTGAATACGTTTTCTTTCTGCTTTTAATTGCAACTTGCCATCAGACTATGAGCGTTAGTGCGACCTAGGGGACCTCAACGTCACCAGCTGATGAAAGTAGCAGAAAAGATTAAATACGCTTACCAATCTGTAACGCAAAATTAGAGCGCAGCTCTTGAGAAGGAGGAGGGTAGGGTACGTCAGTTTTCTCGCGAAATCTAGCGTAAAAACTTATATTTCTTCATAGGTGACATGGCACCAAGTCATGTGACGTCATTCTCCCCAAATTGAGCAGGAAATTGAATTGGTGTTGAGGTCACGTGGCGTCAATCTTCCCGCTAAATTTAGCACGGTTACGCCGACGTCAACGCCCACGGCGACGCCGCTCAACCCAGAAACCGGCGCCTAAGAGCTGCGCTCTAAATGTACAGTTAGGACAGCGAGCCGTTTTAAATGACTAAACGCTCATAAAACTGACGAGTTGAACTGTTTTAAAAATAACTGGTAAGACTTTTTTTTTAGCAGTGCGAGAATTTGGCGACTTTTATTCGGTACGTCAGAACGTCTAAATCCATTTATACGCTCAGATGCGATTTGTAATTAAAATAACTCGAAAGATACGGCAATGAATAAGGAATTACCAAAGTGTACACACCTGTAGAAGATCCGCGACAAGTTTAGTTCACTGGCAATCCTTGGCTGCAAATCCCGAGGCGGACGTCCTGCCGATCCTTTTTGTAGCTTTCTAACGAGGTGACGTGGTGGTGACGCGAACTCAGCTGACGAGATGACTGTAGTGCCGTTCCAAACTTGGATGACAACGTTTGAGATCATGGTGGCACGTGGCAAACGAAACCGCTGCCCAGCCGGCAACAGGCGATGCTCGCTCAATGGTGAACGATGCTCCTGAGTGGAAGATTCGCGACACGTTTAGTGTACTGGCAAAGCATGGCTGCAAACCCTCCTGGCGCAGCAACATCGCGATGGCAGTGTTGTGCGTTGTGAACGAGGATTGAAATTGTCACCCATGGGACGGTGTTTTCGCATATGAGCGGTGTTAATAGCTAGATCAGCTAAATGAGATGACGTAAGCTGCCGGGCATTGATGCCGTTGGTCGGGTCGTGATCGGAGGGGGCGAGGTGTCTCAGGTTGATATACTGCTTTACATTAAATATTTAAGACCACTCGAGGCATTACGGTGCAATCGATCGACCTGCGGATTGTCATGTTGAAACGCTCGTCTGATCCGTAGCTCCTATCGTAAAGTGGCCAATGTGAGTGCCATCAGGCATGTCCTGTTGTCTAACCGAGGGCAATTGACCTCTGCGGGGAAGGACTAAACAGACTGGAATTCTGACCGAAAATACGTATATGTACTGTTTTGAATTTTAGCATTAAGAGGAAATTGAAGCGGTTTTGTATTTAAACGAAAACTAAATCTTAATTTGCATTGTCACGTTCAACAGAGACGGACCCCGAAATCAGAGAAACCGGACGAACAGGTCACGAAAGTCCATCTTATGTACATATATTTAAATAAATAAACAAAATGATATAAGTTTACACTGGCTTAACATAACAACGAAAAAATATAACAACAGCACAGACGTTTCGCCACCTGTCCGGGTGGCATCATCAGTATGAACTGGCCCGGTGGTGGGGTGAGTCAAACCAGTGGACTCTAATCTAACAAGTCCGCGTAAACGTCCGGTAGCAGGCCCCGGTTTGTGTTGCACGCCCTGGGATCACGGCGATTAAACCACGATTCCACGAACTTCCTCGGGCCCCTAACGCTGCTCACGAGCCAAGGTTGCCGCATTGCCCAAGTCAAACGTATGCCCAGCCGTCCAGCTGTGGTCGACGAGCTCAGACTTGCTTCTCGCGGCATGCGTGGCCTTCACCACATCCCGTTTGTGAGTGCTCCTCCGTCTGCCGATTTCTCCAATGTACGTGGCGTCGCAGTCGACACAGTTCCCCTTGTACACCGCACCTGTCTGGGCGTTGGCGGGGGTAATGTCTTTCGGCTTAGGAAACGCGTTCGCCAAAGTGTACGCAGGCTTGAACACAGTCCGGATGCCCAAAGGGCTCAAAGCTCTTCTAATCGAGTCTGAGGTTCCCCGGACATAGGAAATACACACTATCGGCTTCCTTTTGCCTCCAGTGTCTACTTGTGCTTAACTGATTACACCTAGGGTCTGGAGAGAGATGTTTTAAATAAAACGTTTAGGCCAAAAAAGTTCACTTTCTTTTAGTTCACCCACATGTTTTCATACCACGAAAGGCAAAAAATATCTTCAGTGTACTTTTCGTTATATTCACGTTTCTATTACTAGTCAAAAGCTCTTTCTTTTATGTATATTCTAAAGCCGCGGGCATGTATTTCACTTCCAGATCAGGAACTGAGGAACAATTTGATGAAAAGCCGCGCCTTCTTCTTGGGTGCGTAGCATTCTATGAATCTATTGTGGACTATTAAGCAGGGGACACATGAGCGATGAAAACGGGTGCCGCACGGCAGCTCCTGCAGCAACTTGCGCGGCTGCTGTGATGTAGACTTAAGTCCGCGTAAGTTAATATAGAAACTGCCACGCGGCACCCGTGTTCATCGCTCATGTGTCCCCTGCTTTGGCCCCATGGAGCGCGCTTTTACCGAGCACCGGGTCACTGCAAGAAGCAACAAACTCGGAAGTGAGCTCCGCGAGTGTTGCCTCTCCGCAGTGCACCGGGATCACGGGAAGAAGCGCGCTCAACGGGGCCGAGTGAACCAAAATTAAGAATTACACGAAAACGCCGTTTGAATTAAGCGGCTTATTCAAAACATAGCAGGACAACCAATTTCTTTTTAATTTGTTCGAATATGAATTAACCAAAAGTATAAAATATTTGAGTTCGAATTATCTCGAGTCTACTGTGCGTCATAATTTCTGTACTAACTTTGCCAACTATGTTGATTCTATTTTCTTTTGGCAGAAAAACACATTAAAAGTAAGAGGGCACCAAGTACTGCAGCCATCAACGGGAGGAAGCAGTGAGGTGGATGATGAAAGATGTCACAGGAAGAGGTTTTTGCCTCTAGCACATGGTGTTACTCTCCAACGACGTTATCGTCTTAAGAATGTTGTTATTTTTTTATGATTATCATCCCTTAAATATTGGCAATGTTAATGTAAGGTTTGGACACAAATTGTTTTCCCATGGTGTGAAGAGCTGTGCTATATAGAGAAGTTCAAAAATGATGAAACCACGCTATAGGTCAGCTTCACGAAACGACTCTACATTCTGGTAGGTCATGTGCAGCCATGATGTTGAATGTTTTGTGTCATCTTCCTTATTCATTCACTTGTTAGATATTTTTCATTGCTGTCGTTTTAATAGGGAATGTTTAATAGAGCTGGGTTCATGAGAAAAGATGCAGATTACGCTTGAGTCTTACGCCCGACTGACACACAGGTCAAGATTAGAAGAAAATTAGGTGTTTAATGGCACAGCGGCAACTAAGGCCATAGTGTGCCAAAGACAGGGTAAGTTAAAGACTATACTGAAAAGACCTATAGTAGGTAGTTCCATTTTAAAACTATGGGGAGTGAATGATTAAAACTTTACAAGATACAGGCCAATTAAGGCCTCCAGAAATTTTTAACCGATGCTCCACTAACCAGAGGCACTCTAAAGGAACTTCAATCACACTAGGAAGTATGAGAAGATGTGCCGACGATACAAGATCGCTGGCTCTCTGCCACCGCTAATCTTCAGGCAAACGTAAAAGAAATGAAAACAAACTAAAATTCATAGCTGATGAAGGATGCCAATGCTATCTAAAAACTTAAAAACTTGACGGTGTGGCACAAGAGGTTCGTCACCCAATAATAATGCCGGGTGGAACGGGACGCGATTGCGGAAAAAGATTTAAAAAAAAAGTGGTGCGCTCGTGATGGTACTTAGGACATACGATAAGAATATGCAAGACACTCAACGACTCGTTACAGTGTTCACATTTCGGAGCTGCCTCTGCCCGTAGGAGGTACCCATGCGTGAGATGGGTGTGTCCCAGTCTCAGACGACAGAGCACAACCTCAATGAAGCGCTCCCTGTGTCGGCAACTGGCCCATTCCCGTAAGGTAGGTTTCACGCAATGAAGCTTGTTGTGTATTTCCGTGTCCCATTCTAACTGCCAGTTTTTCTGGATTGCTCTTTTAAGACCGTGTTTGTAATCAGTGTACGGAATTTCCTTGATATCCACTTGCCTCTCAATGCACGTACTGGCAGCTCTATCAGCATCCTCATTTCCCTGATTACCGACGTGACTAGGCACCCAACAAAAATTGATGTGTAGGTGTGATTTTGCTGCAGTGTGCACAATGTTCTGGAGCCTAGTAACGAAGGTATTCTTTGGTACTTCCAAAGAAGCAAGCGCCTTTAATGTGCTGAGAGAGTCA